GATTATTGAACAAAGAACACAAAGAAAGCACTATCAATTTCATTTAGGTATCGAATGTTGAATGCTATCTTTCAGCAAAAATATAAAATTTGAAATTCATATTTGGAACAATAAAAAACTTTATTGAGGAACTATAACTACTTGCATAGGTATTCATCACAGTTTTGTTTTTCACAGGTTAAGTTTCAAATGCGTATTATTGGCCAGTTGCAAAAGAACTGACAAAACAAAATGTGTTCGAAATTTGAATCCATTTAGAACGAGTACTCTTTACTTGTCTTGTTCACGCACACATTGAAAGAAATGATTGACCTATAAAAACAATTTTGTTATTGCAGTGTTGTTGACAAAGATAATTTTATTGCTTGTAGGTACCAAGTTACTAACGATTTGATGCGTACTGTGTGCGTAGTATTTATTTAATAATTAGTTACAAATAAATAAGAAGAAATGCAAAATAACTGCCTCAAGTTTTCGTCTTATCAAAAAATATTTGTTAAATTGACCTCAACTGGTAATCAACTCATGAGAGCTGTATTACATCAGTAATTATCTTTTTTTTTATGATAAATGATGTTTATTTTGTACAAAACATGGCAACTTTAGGGTTATGGCATGTCTAAGTATCCGTTTTTTGACGTTACTTATTTTGTGATTAAGTTTTTTTTTTTAAACTGAATCATTTGTTATACTTATTCCTGCTAGATTTTAAACTCCTTTATCGCTTTCACATCGTGAATTAAACGAATCAAATAAACTGTAAAATGCGCGGGAATACACGCGAACTCAAAATGGCGCATAAGTTTGCGTTCCAAATTCAAAAATAAATTCGTTACACGCACGCGCGCGAACGATGTTTTAAAATCGACGTCGCGAGACTGCAACCGTGAATCCAATTTTTAAATTTAGATTTTTTACTGTGTTCGTGAAAAATTTTTTATCTGCACCAAAAAAAATTAGGCAATAGTTTCTTTTCTTGCTCTAAGGAACTTAGTGCCTTTGCTAGTTAAAATGCAAAAAAAAAAACAAGGAAACGGAAACTCAGCAATATTTTCTCTATGGTCGTTTACTTTTTAAATTGCCTGGCATGCTTTATGCCTACGCTATGCCAGTCAGAGACTCTTGTATCGCTGGGAAGTACTTTTGTATGTAAATGCAATGCGTAGGCTTACGATCTTGCAAGACCTGCTCCTACCTAGGTCTTTTTTAGGTTCTAATTTTGAATTTATGCGGTTTTAACGAGTGCCGATTGTATGGTATTGAAATAATTCTACGCTTTTGAATTTAATGAGTATTTTGATTAAGATTTATGTGATATTCTTGATTTATTATAAACAATGTCGGTATAATGTTATTAGATTTATATAAGTTGGAGCTCTATTTAATTACACGTTAGGTATATGACTCAAGAAACAGAATAATAGTTTCACATTTTTAATAACTGTAATTTGAAATACTTAGTCATGCATAGAAATCATATTATAATCTTAATCGCATCACTTCAATCACAGATTAATCAGAATAATATGGTTCAGACACAATCAGTGTACTCTTTTATAGACATGAAAAATAATATTTATTGTTTGTTCAAATCTACCTACTTCAAAATAACTTTTCTTTTCCAAGTAATTATAAGTAATTCAATCCAAGTTATTAATTCATAGCATAATCACATCTAATTAAATCAATCGTTAACATTTTAATGGCGGCTAAATCAAATACTAAAGTTAAATTCCCGCTCGATTCAAAGAACATCCTTTATACCATCGTGCATCATGTAAACTGTGCTAAGGCGAACGCCTTTCCCTTCTCTACATTTATTCATAGAGAAATAACAAAAATAGCCATAGACAACATGGCCAATATACGCTGACCCGCCAGAGTGAAGTTCCTCGTAAACTTTTAAGCGCGTTTTCGCGCGCTCAGAACTCTATTCTCTATGGTCGGTCGAACGCGTAGGTTGTATAGGTTGAAAAATGGCTGCGCAGCTACAATAGTATGGAGACCAGCGAACCCGGAAATGTTGGGCATAGACAATTTTAATACGATGATATTGTGCATTTTTCGTTTGCGCAATCTCTGCTTTGATCCTAGTAAGTTAAAATCAACTCTCAATTCTACATTAAAGCAACAATTTCTGATTTAGAACAAAATTTACTCGACCCGGTAGCTCTACTTAAAAAAATACTGTAATTTTTAATTTAGTTAGTACTTAGATACTTATAATTACTTTTAGGCGATATTTCTATTGAACTCTACAACTCTACGTTATTTTTACACGTCATTTAAGAATTCAAGCAACGTCCAAATTTTTTTCATTTGAATTCGGGCTCAAAAATGTAACAGAAATCATTAGGAACCCCAACGGGACTGCAAAGCAGCTAATTATTTTTAATCTGTGGCAATATGGCTCTCCCAGGCGCTCGGACGCTGTATCCCGTTTCTGGTATGTCCGATAGCCGTTTTTGGCGTGATTAGCATCACCTTATAATGTTCTATGCTAGTTGCTTTTCCTTGTTAGCATTTACACGACTTTAGCTTTTAACAGCCAATAAATAACATCTATAAACGCCCGGACCGTGTCTGAAATTCGAACGCGTTCGATTTGAAAGTTTAAAAATCCGAGTCTGTTCTTTTTTCGTATTTGAAAATTTTGATTCTATTTTGAAATTCGAGTATTTTTCTTTTGTTTTTATTTTATTTTTTAACGTCTTCTTCTTTTTATGGATGGCCAGGGTTCGATGTATAAATGCATAAATAAGTTTATAGCCAACAATAAGGACCAAGCACTAAAATATTGTATACTTTAATGTAATGAATGTTCGTAGGTTTATGTTAGCCTGGAGCTCTTGATTAGATAGGTTACAGTTAAAGACTTGTACATTCACTTAGCTATAAAATAGAGAGGGTTCAATTATCTTAGTATACTCATTTACAATATTAAAAAATACAGAATAGATGTACCTACTAGACTAACAATAGCTATTGGTTTTAGATGAAAAGTCGCTATTTTATGTTTTCAAAGTAAATTTATGATGCCTACATTTAATTACACCTATTAATCAATATGTTAACAATACAGTACGCGTTAATGCATCACTTAAAATGAATCACACACAATACACACTCAACTAGACAATTTTCAAACTAGAACTAGCAAAATAAATCAATACCACAATAATATGATTATGGGACCCATAACAAACAATTACCTATAAAATACCCCCAGCCCTAACCATCATAAAGGGCTTAAATATCGCAATATTTTACGTACACTTTTATCTACAAAACCAACCTAATAAACCCAACTCAGTTATAAAATTTAGTGCCAATAAATAAAGCAATCGAACCGTTAGTGGCCGATTAGCTATACAAGGCACAAACCAGCAATATTTCTATGCATTTCGCTGTGTCAAGCCGCACAAAACCATATATCTAAGCTGTAGCATCTAGGAAATAATTCCACAATATCTCTTCTTACAGACGCACTGTGTTATACACACGCATTCTTCTCAAACATGCAAAATCACTAACACAACCAAAGCGCAGGACTATGCAGAAAAGATAGCCTATATCGTGGGTACGTGAGCGCGTTTGTGTGCGTGAGTCATCGACCCCGCCATTTGCTTGCAATACTACAGGCTAAAAGTATGCGTTCGTTTATTATGGTCTTATTTTAAAAATGGAACGGCGGTCATCGCTTTCTTTCGTTGGGTTAGGTCGCGCACGGATTTTGGCGCGAACTTTCCGAAACGGGTCTCTTGTGTAACCTTTGGGTTACCGTTACGCCGTTCCAATTTCGAAGCCTGGTTTAGGTTCTCTTTTTGAGTTTTTGATTTGAAGGTTACTGGCTGGTTTGGTCTTGAACTCAATCATGAACGCTATAAAAAGCGAATCTTGACAAAAAAGTAGAGCTAATTTTTTCGAAGAATATGCCAGCATTTTTCAAATAGCAGAGCAACTAGAGTAACTCAAGGAAATAATGTAGAGTCAAGTCTTTGCGTAAAACAACTAATACGAATTACGCGGTTTGTCTGTAAAATTCTAAATTCAAACCAATTTTAAATATATTTTTTATTTTTGAACAAAAGAAACTCTCAATTCGAAAATTTTAAATGCCAGTTACCTCTGAATTTACTCGTGAGATCGCAAAAGTAAGCATTTGAAGAATGTCGCGATTGAAAATTTCCTAACTGGTTTGCCCAGATGTCCGTATTTGATACTGCAATTTAGCCGACGAAGCGAAATCGCCATTATTTGTTCGTAATGACTGAATTAAACTTAATTGAGATAAAACACGGCCGTGTGACTTTTTAACTTGTTTATGTGTGTAATATTTGTAATGGCTGTGTAATTTTATTGTAGGATTATGTAACTTGGCATATTTGCGTAGGCTTATTACTTCTTCATCGCCATGTTACTTGTGATTAAAATGATCAAAAACGAGCTTTAAATAGAGACTGACTTCTTTGCCCATATTCTGATAGCACGATTAAACACTCAGTGTGTAAATCGGAGAATGCAGAAGTCTGTGATTGATCTCTAAAATCAACTTCCATACCAGAATATGAGATGAACTACTCATTATATAAACGAGCCTTAGATTTTAGAAATTTTACTTATCTGTGTTTGAGGATTCCGGGTAAAGCTAGCTCTTACATTCGACCTGAGGTGGAATTGTGTAAATCAATCGTAAGCATTTGACAATTCATAACGTACGATTATTCTGTCAAACGCTTTGTTTAACTGACTTTATCGTACGTTATAAACTGTCAAATGATTACGATTGCTTTACACAATTCCACCTCAGATCATCCACTTTCTATCAAGTGAGACGCAGGCCAAAAGCTGCCTAAAACACTAAGGCTGAGTTGCGCCACCTGACTTTAATCGTAACTATAACGATAACCGGTGTTTTTTGTATGGAGTTTGACATATTTTTGACGTTTGCTATTGTTAAAGAAAGATTTGCACCAGCCTTACCTTTTTTTTCTTTCCAGGCGAGCGCCCCTACAAATGCCACCTCCCAGAGTGCGGGCGCGCCTTCATCCAGCTTTCAAATCTTCAGCAGCACCTTCGGAACCACGACGCTCAGGTGGAGCGAGCCAAGAACAGGCCCTTCCACTGCAACATCTGTGGGAAGGGATTCGCCACCGAAAGCAGCCTTAGAACGCACACGGCAAAGGTCAGTATTGAGAGTTTTTTGAGGGAGTTGTGGGATATTTAGAATTTTTGGGATATTTAGAAATTTTCGAAATATTTAGAAACTTTTAGGATATTTAGAAACTTTTTAATATTATATTTAAAAATAATGTTAATTTAATGAAGTCTTTTCAGTGTAGAAATAATGTAAACTCTTACTTATATTTTTTAAGATTTAAATTTTGTAAGATGTTATCTTCTGATGAATTTGTAATTTTTTTATATTGCAAATATGTATAATACAAATTGCACTTTATTTGGCAATCACCAAAATCACATGTTAACAAAATTTTGTTTTAACAAAAATAACTTTGGCAATTTCAGATTTATTTTCCAAAATTACCCTTTGGCCGTTATTGTTATTTTCGACCTTTTAACTCAAAATTCAATTTGGCAGTTTTACTATACTTTACTAAATTCCCTTTGGTCTGTATTTTTGTTTTGATGTGTTTATTTGAATGTGAAGCTAATATTTCAATGCTATGCCCGCATCGCCACCGCCGGTGGAACAGGAGCTTCAGCTGCACCTTGGTGTTTTGCAGCAACATGCCGCGCTCATGATCGGGGGCGCCACCGCCACGCCATGCCCCATTTGCCACAAAGTCGTATTCGGTGGCGAAGCACTAGTAGAACACATGAAGAATACGCACAAGGACCCTAATGCGTCCGGCGTTGCCAGTAAGTTTCGAATTCGTGGCGGTTTTTGAATTCCGAAAAAAAGAACGTCGTCCATGGACCTCTTTCTTTTTTTAAACAGGTTGTCTAGTCTTAAGTAGCATAAGCAACCTCCTTTGCGCCGAGTGTTTCTGATTCGTTCTCAATTTAAATTTAATGCAATTCGATGTTTAAAAATAACGCTCCCGCAGATGAGATTTATTAGTTTATAAGAGCAGCCACTGGAAGTTCGTACGTTAAATTCGTTGGTCTCCATAAAATAACTGCAACAGTAACAACAAAACATTTTGTAATCAAACATTTTGCGATGCGAGAGCTTCCAGCTGGCACAAAGCCATGAGGGGTGTTGGTTCCTTAAAATCCAACAAAAACGTATCGTTTCCATAAAATATTGCTAACTTAATAAATAAGCGTGTCCGGACGCCATCTTCGGAGCTGTTATTGTTGTAGAATTATTGGAAGGGTAAATTGTTTTGTAAACATTTGTTGCCTCTAAGAGACGACAGATTCTTCGGATGGCGTTCAGACTTTATTATGATAACATGTTTTGTTTGTGTATCTAATATAGGGTTGCCATACGTCCCCGTACGCCGGGACATGTCCCCGTTTGAAGCATGATGTCCTGGTGTCCCGGCCGATAAGCAATTTGTCCCCGTTTAAAAATCATAGTTATTTAATAGAGGGCTGGACTTGGTAAACAGTAATATACCTACGTAGAAATAAACGCGACTAACTAGCTAGGCTAATGAGGCTAATCGTACGTTGATAGAACGACGTAAGCGCTGACACTTAGTCTTGTCCGTTCACGTTTCACGAATTTACATCAACAGTGTCAACACATTTTGGGATCGCGAACTCTCGACGTTGACAGAGCAAGAGTGTATTTTGAGGTTTGGACAGATAATTCAAACGAAGTGAATAAACGAAATAAACTTGTTTTATGCGTGCCGCTGATTGTATTGTGATAATATTTTTTTTAATAATTTTAAACTTACTACCCATTTCCTCATAAACGCGTAGAGGTATTAAATTGAAATTCATACCAAATACTCAGGTCTATAATACCTTTAAGCTGTAACAAAATCAAACTTCTATGTCAACGCAATCAAAAGAAACAGCAATTTAAGCTGCATATTTTGAAACTCGCAAGTACTCGCAAGGGAATCAAAACCTAAAGGGTACTTCCAGTCGACCTAGAATCTTGAAATTTGGCATGAAGCAACGTTTTATAGCACACATAAAGGAAAAATTCCGAAAACCTTAAATTTTTGGTTACATTACAAAATATATATTTTTTAATAAATATAAACTTATTACTTTTTTCCTCATGAACGCGTAGAGCTATCAAGTTGAAATTCATATCAAATACTTAGATCTAATTGCCTTTAACCCGTGAAAAAAAAAACATAGTTATGACTCGATTGTCGTAATGAACGAACTTTGTAAACCTTGCAGGTTTGTACGGAACCCTCGGTGCGCGAGTCCGACTCGCACTTGGCCGGTTTTTTTCTACCTTTAATAGTTTTTCTTTAAATGTCCCCGTCTGAGTCCCCACACTTATGGCAACCCTAATCTAATAGCTACATTTTCCTCATTTTCTAACGTCAACTTGCGTTTTGTTAGTATTTCTGTTCCGTTAATTGGTTTCTGTTTTGATTTACCTATTGTGTTTCCAAGTCAATTAGTTTGGTTATTATGATTTATATTTCGGTATTCATTTCTTTATTACCATAAGAAATACGACGACTCTTCGCTTTGCGTAAATACGCCCATATTTACGCCACATCCCCTTCATCCAGCTCAACTTCAAAGAAAGAAAAAAAGAATTTCCAATTTTTCGTAATTAAAAGCAGAAGAGTCGTCCCGAAACATTGGCACTAACAATTTGACTAACCTATTTTGTTTTTTCTTCTTCCCCCCTAACCCACTAACCTTCCCAAATCCTGGTGATGATGGCGAAGGTCCACCCGCCACGTCACCGTACCCGGCGCAAGCTAAACCTATTGATCCTTATATAGCCAAGCGGCGGACGGCGAACCACCCGTGCCCGGTTTGCGGGAAGCACTACGTCAACGAGGGTTCCCTGAGGAAGCACCTGGCCTGCCACCCGGAGACCCAGCTCACCAGCGGCCTCCGCATGTGGCCCTGCTCCGTGTGCCAGGCCGTGTTCACGCATGAGAGTGGTGAGTGGACCCATTGAACTCCATTTGTGTTTGGTTTTGACTAACAGCTGTCGATGTACTTCCAAGACCTTCCATCATCAACATATCAAGAAAATAACAATAGATTAGTTAATTCTATAGAATCTAAATTAAAATCTTACGTTCCAGGTCTTCTCTCTCACATGGAGCATATGAGAATGGAACCAAAACACCAGTTCGCCGCCCAATACGTCCTCTCCCGCGCTGCGGCCGAGAGACGAGAACGAGACATACTTGCCGCTGTCTCCGCCTCGGCTGGAGGATCAGGCCTTCTGAACCTGGCGCCACCCTCGCCAGCGCACTCTGACTCCTCCTCCAACGGCCGGTTATCCTCCTCAGCCGGGTCCGAAGCGGGCGCTGCCGTCAACAAACTGACTGACCTCCTCCGATCGGCTAACAACGGCCACCAAGCATACCCAGATGAAAGAGTAGCGGCAATCGCAGCGGCAGCCGCGAACATGATGGCTCAGCCAGGAGAAGGTGCCAATGCTGTTCAGGTGGCCGCAGCGAACCTAGTATCAGCGATGAGACAGCAGCTGGCCAGAGAACCGCCACCGACGCAGCCGCCGGCTGAAACACCGCCGGCGCCCTCGGAAGCAGCACTTCGAATTCAACAAGCTGAAGCCTTACTCCGGAGTCAGGCCGAGGCTCTCCGATTGGCCGTGTCGCAGGCTGCGGCGGCGCACAACACGGAAGCGGCCAGTCCCTTGAGACACAACGGAGGCTTTCCTCCCCAACCACCAAACGACGCGAGTGGACAACTATCACCAGAGTTAGTGGAGGCGTTCCGAATCGCTCAGGAGCAGAGATTGGAGCAGGCGTTGAGGTTACACGATCCTAGGATGTTGGGCTTTAATTTGCCGTCGCCGGTTCAGCAGGCGGCACAGCAGGCTGCACAGCAGGCAGCACAGCAGGCGGTGGCCGCACAGCAGGCGGTAGCCGCGCAGCAAGCTGTGGCCGCGCAGCAAGCAGTGGCAGCGCAGCAGGCAGTTGCCGCACAGCAAGCAGTGGCCGCACAACAGGCCGCACAACAAGCCGCACAACAAGCTGCTCAACAGCAACATATGCAGCAGCAGGCTGCCCAGGCCGCCCAGGCCGCCCAACAGGCCGCACAACAGGCGGTCCACCTCCAACAAAACCCTCAACCATGAAAATTCAGCTATTACTAATCCGACGCGATTTCGGCCAAACACAAAATCGTATAGCAGTAATCTAGGTATAGTAAACAAATCGTTCGGTATTTTTTGGACAAAAACATTTTTTTCGACGGAGTGTGAACGTGAAATCGCCTCTGGTTAGTAATTTCGTTGACACATATTTCGGAAACATTTTTGTTTCGATTTATAATTTAAACCGGAAAAATATGGTAAAAAAACTAAATTAACGCTAAATCTTAGATAGAACTAACTATTGTAAATAACGGAAGTTTAGTTGGAAATGTTTCTCGTGTAAATATAAAGAGGAATGCGATTAGTTAAATAAATGAGCAAATGGAACAGAAACTCGCCCGAACAAGTAATTAGATGTAGAAAATGTGACAAATAATATTCAGTGCAATCTTCAATAATTATTTGTTTGGTTGTTATTGAGTGTTTTTATTATTATTAATAGAGATGAGGTATTTATTTTTTTTTAGCTTTACCACGAAGCAGTGTATTTCTTAGCTTAGTACAAAGTTTTGGATGTGCCAAACTGGTTTAAGCACTTTTAATCGCATTTAGCGAGACTTGCAATATTTAGTTGCTTATTAAGTTTCTGTAGAGTAATTTAGATGCTATTATATTATTAAAATTTTGTTTTTTTATTAAGTATATCTTTTCTCGCAATAACACGTCTTATGCTAGTCACGTTTTGAACGCACAAATTATATTCTATTGAAGAGGAAATTTCAAAAAGTTTTTATTTTTATATTTATCGTTTGAGACTAAAATGGCTAACTTTTCTTGGCGTATATTTTATTTTTATAATAATTGCCATATTAGTTGTTAGTGTACATACGTAGGCCCGTTACGTAATGTTGAAGCTTTTGTTTAGATAAAAAGAAACCGTTTATTTTTATTATTGAAATACTATTTTTTATTTTAACAAAAATCAATTATTTACACAATAATTTGTATAGTTGTATATATAAAATTTATTGGTTATTATTTTTCACAAGACTGCCGTTACTTATTCTTTTTATGTACATAAAATGATTGCTTCATGAAATTGTACGTGAATAATAACAAATAGCGATTTTTCACTCCACAAACAGACAAGACAATACAATAATTATATATAAGACATAAATTGGACATCGTCGAAGAAGAATATTATAATAATGATCACTTCACAAGAAAAGAACATCTAACTTCGACAAAAAAGCTTCGAATGACATCAGACAACTAACACACAAGACATTCTTTCCATCATCACGAATGTTGAGAAATAGCCCAAATATTTTACATTTTTATTTATTTTATATGTACTTACACGCTTTTAAATGAACCACAATAGCCCAGTGAATCATTTTAAATGGTTAAAAGAGAAGCAGATCGCTTCCGTTTAACCACCAGAACAGTAACAAAGCATCTAGGATGCACAGCAGTTGCCATTGCAATAGATTTATAGTTCAAGATGAACAAAACGAAATTACAAAATGTGGCACAGATTTTGCAAAAGCTGTGTACCATTTTGCAATTTGCAATAAGAATGTCAAGTGTTGCCGAATATGAATTCTTTTAATATTATCATCATGTATTATAATAAGTGTCGATTGATGTGGACAAAATTGTGTTCGTAATCAATATTGTCCACAGAAATTGTAATATCATACGTATAATCGTAACATAGGTAGGGTATAGTAAGCTGATTTTAATGTACGTAATTATTTCATTCTTGAATTAATATTGGTATTATCGTGGATCAGTGTCGTGACACGTCTCAGGTGCGCACGCTGTCGCGGTTTATCAATGTAAATAAAGAAAAAAATCACAATGCAATAGCCCAAAAATTCATTATAATTTCGTCGTGACATTTGGTTAAGGATGGGAGTTATTATTGAACTTTTAGTTGGTGTATGTCTTTTTTTTTATGAAATACAAAACTTTTCGGCAAGTGTTAACTTATTATTTGGAATGAAACGGCCAGTACCATCAAGACGCGAAGGTTACTTGATAAAGATTATGTTTTCTAGGAAACGTGAATCTCTAATTAGACTAAAACTACATTTTCGACTGAAAAAATTACGGTTTCGACAATGCAATAAAAAATCAAAAGTGAACGGATCGCTATTTATGTAAAAAATGTCCTCATAAATTAATATATAAATAAATTTAATATAACAACAAAAGAAGTTCCTATGAATATTGTATAAATGGTATTGTTTTAAATTTAGGTCTTAGTAGAAGGAAAAATTTATGGACGTTTGGTATTTTTAAAGTTGTAATTAAAGAACCATCGTGTTAGGGAACTTAATTCGCGGTGGCGAGTTGTACAAACTAAAAAGCACGGATCGTGAATCCTAACATTAGATTTTTAGATCAAAAGTTACGTTTCCAAGAAAGTGTTCAAGCGGTATTTAGGCTTACATTTTTGTGCGGCATGTGTATAATGTAAAAAAAATATTTGTAAAAAAAATATAATATGGACGTTGTATTTTCGAGATCGGAATTTAAATTTAAGATTTTTGAATATACGAAAAATACTCTGAATAGGTGTTAGTGTATTGGCATGCCACACGAAAAAGTAAGTGCAATCGTAATTTCTGTGATCATCGAAAAAGGAATAGTTATAAATCAGATCGTGTCTGTGAGTTGACAGAGGTTACTTTTAAGTTTTCGATGGATAAATTTTTTAATGTTGATAAAAATATGAAAAAAGAAAATTTTTTCTACATTTTATTTTACGACAAAAATTCCGTAGTTAAGCTGTGTATATTTAATACTAATGCCTAATTAACAGTAATGCGATGACATAGCTCACCGCGCCATGGCAAATATGAAGAAAACTGCCCTGCTATTTCCATTTAAGCATTTTTCTTCAGATTTGCGTCTTAGTATCAATAGAACTGGATTCAGTTAAGTCGATACACAAGTGTGTGATTTTTACCATCTCCACATACCACATTTTCCATAGAAATGCGCTGTTAGTTTTATTTTTACGGTGAAATGGATATGATGCTTACGATTAATGTTGTAGTTTAATTGGCTATTATAATAATTAAAGTTAAATAATTTTGTTGATGATTTTGTGTTGATAGAAAAATTGGTTAAATATTCTCAAGATCATTTTCATTGTTGCTCGCGCGGTAACAGTTAAACCGCAATTCACGAGTAAACAAAATTAAATGAAGGTATTTGTGTAAAAATACCTATTACTAATTGCAACAACATCCAGCAATTACATTACATTTTTTATTTGTATGTTAAGGAGACGCTGTGAATTGTGTGTGTTCTGTACACACATTTTGCGATTTTACAATTTTTGTGTACAAAAATTGCAAAGTTGCAAAACGTGATTAATAAAATAATACACGATTCACAGCGTTTTTTGTTGAGTTTGTTGAAATGACTTGCTGTTGATTTACATTAAACATCCTCATTGTCTGTTAAGGCTTTTGTTTTGAAGCTTTGTCGTTTACGTTGTTTGTATTTCAGCTTGTTTTACAATATATAGTTAAATATACACAATTATTACACGTAATTTAAGAGTAGACAGGATAGCCAGGTTTTCAATTATACCACACAGTAGTTATTAACGTATATTATTGTAAGTTAGCATAATTAATGTAATGTAATTCAACGGGACTAATTTATAAAATGTAACCATTTTCAGATAACACATTTTTATAAATTTGTCTTTGTGTGACGTATATTAGGCACAACATTATGTCCTTGATATATGTTACGGAAGTAGTAAACAACGAAATAAAAAAAAACCACATAAATACAAAAAAAAACCGTGTACTTATTCGTACTTAATGTCATAGATAATCAGATCTATTATTATTGGTGTTTTATGGGAATATTTGTATCCCTACGGTAGATGTCGTATCCATTTCGAAGTGAAAATACCTTTACGGACAAATAATATTTTCTTAATTATGAAAAAAATTCTAAACGATGACAGGGATAAATTTCGTCAGGTTTGACAGGCAGTTTGATTCCTCAGAAATCTGAAGAAAACTTTTGGTTTTAAAAAATACTGACAGCGCATTTAATTTTCTGTCTACGTTGTATTTCTAGCCTCTATAATGTCACATAGGGCATTTTCGTTGTTACGGCGTACTTTTATTTTCTGAAAAATTGTTGCAATATTTGTGTGCAATTGTTCTGTTACAAAAATTGTACCATTGAATCTTGCAAATTGTACCTTGCAATCCTGTTGCAGAAATTTTATCTAAATGTTTTTATGATTGGTGTATGTCTAGTCTTATTTACGAATTTTTTTATCTTTAATGAGACAGAATCGTTTTTGTAAACGTCAAAATTGTGCGATTGGTACGCAAAAACTTTTTCGGGGATAAAATTGTAGAAATTTGGACATTGGAAACGCAGTTTTGTAAGAGTCAAAATTGTACCTATTTCGGCGTATAAATTATTGTAAATTTCAATAATGTTTAGCGGTTTAGAGTAAAATTTTCATTTAGCTAGCAGTCAAAATTCGTGTTTGGCGTTAAAATAAACAAAATTGTATATACTTTAGGCATGTGATGTGATGATTAAGATGTACCTAATCGATGTTTAGGCCAAAACATAATACATAAAAATTGTGTTGGATTTCTCAAATTCATAGAAGATTCTGTATCAGTGTTCATTCATACAAACTTATATTTTTGTTTATTAATTTTTATTGTAAAGTTATTTAAGGTTAACTTAAGTTTTTACATTAATAAACGATGCCATGTTTTTGATTAATTATTTTAGTATTAAACAAAATGTGTTTATTGAATATTATATTTTTATAAATGGTTATTTTTTGTATCCGATATGTATGTAGTCAATCTTACGGTATATTGTATAGTTTTTTAGTGTTGATTTATGTTAAGGTTTAATTTAGTTGCTGTCGAGTTTTGATTGAACAAATTTGTATGTTTATTTGATTGTGCAGTTAATTTTAACAACGGCAATGCTTATTGTGTCATTAACGGAGATAGTAATTATTATTGCCGAAACGGTTAGCTATAATTATTTTAAAAAATAAAAAGGATGATTCATATGCGCGTTTCTTTTTCCTCTTTTTAGGTATATTGCAGTTGCAAATAATAATTGGCATATTTAATATTAGTAGATTTAAATCGTATTATTCTCTAGAAATCCGACAAAGCATTAGATAATTAAATCGAAGTTTATTTCTTTTACTAATACTTTTTAAACAATTCTTTTTATTATTAATAGCTACCATGATTGAAAAGTATGCAAAGTATTTGTATTTATGAAATACTTACTCGATAATTTCTATGAAAAATCCTATAAAACATTAAATTTTTGCCGATTGTTGTAATTACAAAACTGTTAGCGCCATCTAGCGGCGAGCGGACACGGCTGAATTAAAGTTTTAGCATTTTTTGCAAAAAGAAAATTTAAAAGCTAAAGAAGGAAAATATGAACCCATAAGTAGTACTTATTATTATTCTGTGCCCATACCTAATTAATAACTTTTTTTTGAATTAAATACATTTTTACTTTTACTGTCTTATAAACTTACAATATTTCTGCCAAACTCCAAATCCTTGCTTGTCGTTTAAAACGTCGATTTAAAACGTCGGTTTAAATAAAAAAGAATTGTTTAAAAAATATTATAGTATTGTTTGTTACTGAGAACGAAACTTTAAAGCTAAAGTATGTACCTTTCACTGTGCTTTGCCAAAT